GAAAGTACGCCGTTTTCCCTCAAAGACGACTCACTAAGGAAGCAACACAAGGATATATTAAATTAGTTGCAGTGCATCTTGCATGCACGCTTTTCTAGAGAAATTAAAACATAGTTGACAACACTGAGGCAGACTAAGCTTAATCTAAATTACACTTGTCATAATAACGTGCTGTAAGATAACAACCCAGAAATGAAATCTGGAATCTTGTTACGAGATATTAGCTGCTGAAATTTTGAGATTTTCATTCAGCAGTTCCTGCCCCGTTTCCACATTCAAATAAGAAGAAAAGGCTGCAGCGTTAATTTTGAAATAATCACGGCGACGGGTACAAACGGCAAACTGTAAATTAACATTTTAAATACCATTTCGTTAAATTTTCGCGAATGATTTGATTGTGCGCTGCAGAAATGTCATTGGTATTTAATCTGTTCGAAGCCTGTTCTTATTTTGGGCGCAGCTAAAAAATATTGCGATTTTCTTGCCAAAAAGTTTCAAGAAAAGTGGAATACCGTGGCAACGTCGCATCGGAATTTCAAAAGTAAACTGTGGTTGTAAATCATCAGAAATGGCCAATCAAAATATAGAGGGTGTTTCATTTAAAAAAATTAAATTGTGTGCTCGCTCACCTGTATATATAAAATAATAATAAGCATTTAATCATAAATTAATAATAATACAATTTTGTGATCTTGTTAGTGTCTTTTACAGACGATGAAGTCTGCGCAAATTTCAGGGTTGTATTTAGGAAGGTATTTGGCCGTGAGGGATTCGGCTAAATACTGAGACAAAACAATTTCATCATGTTAAAATTGAACTACATACGACCCACAAAAACAAGTTAAGTTTCTATTAATGTAAACGATTTTTGCAGACACTCCGGTTAAATTCGTACGCAATAAATCAAATCCGCCCCTGTTCAACATCTGCCCACCTCTGAACTTCCACTGGGGTTATGAAATTTATAGTTTTACGATTATTACAACTTCTAGATCGTAAAATTTTATCCTCCAAACTTCTTTTATTCTCAGAACTTCCCTAACCTTTGAAGTACAATCACACAAATCGACTTTCTAATATAAATTATAAAATGGATTCGATTTAACAGTTTCAAAATGAATTTTTTTTTTCAAAAAAACTGACTGTTTAAGGTAAAAACTCAATACGGATTCATAAACCACAAATAGAAAGAAATTTAAATGACATTTAATAATGTAAATCTGATAGATGACGTGATCCTATTATTGGTGAGGATGATTAGAAAAATTTTAGTTAGCGTTTTACCATCTGTACGATATTCCTAACATACATGTATAATTTGACAACAATCGATCCAGTAGTTTTTAATAAAAATGACAAAATCTAATTTTGCGAATTATTTTTTTTAATGATAACCCCTATAAGTTAAAGTAAAAATATATGTGCATTAGTAAATTATAAATAGAGAAGCATGCTATCTATACGTTTCTAGTGAGTTTTTTCATATACAAATTTTGTGCTGACATCATTGACACTTTATCAAGAACATATGCGTCAATTTGATTGAACAAGTACAGTATAATATCAATAATAACAGTATACTCAAATTTTCGAGAAAACGGAATGAGTCGTTCTTGATTTAGTTAGTAAAATACGTAGATTGCTTCATTTATTAATTTTTTTGTCACCCTGTGTAAGTAATTTTAATAAGTTTGAATGAATTCATAAACCATAAGCATAGAGTCATAATATTTTACATATTTTACGAAGGATTCGATTTAACAGTTTCAAAATGAAAATACAAAATATTGTTATATAATGTTTTTTTCAAAAAATCTGGCTGTGTAAGGTAAAACCTCAACACAGATTCATAAACGACAAGTGCACGAGTATCTTATCCTATAAGATTTAAATAACATTTAGTAATGTAAATTTGGTAGATGATCCCATTATTGGTGGGGATGATTAGACAAATTTTAGTTAGCGTTTTACCATCTACACGATATTTCTAAAGTACATGTATAATTTTACGACAATAGGTCCAGTAGTTAGGGAAATTACCTGTCTAAATTGACACCGACGACAGACAGATAGAATACGGACAGACGGACACGAGACCGACTTTTTCCCCCTTTTTGACGTTTTTTTTTCTCGTCTACTTTTTGTCTCTTTCTTTTATAATTTTTTTTCTACAATATTTTTTTTGTATTTTTGTTTCAATTTTTTTTCTTGTCGTCTTTTCTTTTTGTTTTTTTTTTGCGCCCTTCTTTTTTCACTGTTTTATTGTTCGTTCTATAATCGCTTTTTTTCGCCTTTTTTTGTCGTGTCTAACTTGCCATCTGTTATCACAAAAAAATCTAAAATTTGTAGAATTAAATTTTATATTTATTTAAAAATCTGAAATTGCTTAATTGATTATTCTTTAGGGACAAGGGAAGCTCGATCTAAACAAATTTTGAGACATTTTTTGGTATGTAGTTTTAAGAACTCTTATTTTTACTTACGTTTATTGTGATAATTCATCCGGAGAATAGCTACTTTCATGTTTTCTCGATTATTAAATTAAAAAATAGGTCTTCAGTTTCAGTCTATCTGTCGCCTGTTTGTATCGATTTGTTTCCAACTTTTTTTGTTAAACTATTTTTGTTCCCTTCTTATAGTAGCTTTATTGACGGATTTTTTTATCACCTTTTTAATTAACCCTTTTTCCTAGTTTTTTAGTGAATGATTTTTTGTAATTTTTATACCACTTTTTTCTTTTTTGTGGCCTTTTTTGGCGCCTTTTTAGTTTCCATTTTCTTGTCTCCTTTTTTAGTGCTATTTTGTTTTTATTGTTCGTTTAGTTCATGGTTTTTTTTTGGATTTTCAGTTTTTCAATTTTTTAAATTATATTTTTTTTAATTTTTCCTTTCTTCAATTTTTGGTTTGTAATTTTTCAACTTTTCATCTTTTTGGGTGAATTAATAATTATATTCTTTTATATTTTCACTTTCTGAATTTTTCTTTCTTTGTATTATTGGATTTTAAAACTTTTTCATTCATTAGTTTTTTCAATTCTTCGATTTTTAATTTTCTTGATTTTTCGATCTTTCAATGTTAACAGTTTTTCGAATTTACAGTTTTGACGAATCCCAATTTCTCGGTTCATCTTTTTTTTGCTATTTTCCACGTCTCCGATTTTTTGCTTTTTCGAATTTTAATTGTTCGATTTTTCAATTTTTCGGTCTTTCAACTGTTCGAATAAAAAAAATAAAAAAATCGCAAAATTGCAAAATTGAAAATCAAAAATGAAAACACGAGAAAATGTAAAACATGACTCTGAAAAATCCAAAAATTAGAAATCAAGAACTTGAAAAATTTAAAAATCAAAAAAATAAAGAAATCGGGAAATCAAGTATGTTGAAAAACCAAAAATTGCAGCTTGATCAATTTAAAAACTGGAAAATCGGGGAATTAAAAAATCAAACACTGAAAATTTGAAAAATTGAATATACGAAAAATTAAAAAATCGAAACATTGAAAAAATAAAGGAAATGAAAATTCGAAAAATTGTGATATAAAATCGAAAAAATGAATTTAAAAATCCGGGAAAATGAAAAATAAAGATCAAGAACTTAAAAAACTGAGGAAACGAAAAATTAATTTGTTGATCGCTTTTTTTGGCTTTTCAGTTTTTAGATTTTTCAAATTTTAGATTTTTCACTTCTTCAATTTTTCCATCTTTCAATTACTGGATTTTAAACCTTTTTAATTCTTCGATTTTTAATTTTTGATTTTTCGATCTATCAATGTTAACAGTTTTTCGATTTTGCAATTTGGACGTAGGGTTCATGAAACGGCGAGGAAACATGAATGTAGCCACTCGTCGATTGGACCCAATTACAATACTTCTTAGCTTAAGCTCAAAAAGTAAAAATATTAATTCTTTGAGAAACTCGAGCACAATTTTGAGATAAATTCAATTTAAATTGTAAAATGTTGTTACATAATACAATTTTGATTTTTTCGCCAAATTAAAATATCCAAGGTGAAAAATAAAGGCGGATTCATAAACGACAAGTACAGAAGTGTTTTGTTTAATAAAATTGAAATAGTATTTACTTTGGAAATACTAGACGTCTAGACGATATTCTTAATATACACATAAAATTTTATAACAAACCATTCAGTTGTTACAACAAAAAATATCTATTGAACGCACATAAAACACCTACTTTATTTTATTTGAAAGGAAAATACCGTGTGATCAGAAATGACTGAGTCTGTTGGCAATCCTAGATTTTTAGTTGAAATTGGTATCATAATGTTGTCAACTGTCAAGATTAACAGATTATTGACATTTTTAAGTTTGCAAAATGTGTTCACAACTTAAATTTAACACATGTCACAATTGACATAGCTGTCACAGAGTTATTTAAAAAGTACTACGAACACACTCGATCATTTCTGAGCACACGGTATATCATTTCCGGAATACTGAAAGTCTGATAACTCTAATCGCAAATTCATTTTTTAGATTTCTTGGAGCTGATTAATCATTCTAAACTTCAAACTTCTATCTATTAAAATAAGTGAAAATAAAATAACTGGACCAATTAAAATGAGACACCTGGTATAGTTTGAAAGTCCATATTTCTTCAGTAAGATTTCTTTTTTTTTTTATTTCTTTACATTACGATAATTATCAAAGTATTGTACAGTGTGTTAAAATAACTGAAACAAATTTGCTAAAAAAAATCATGAAATCAGTTTCAGGAAAATGATGGTAAAGATTAAAGGATAAACTTTAAATTTCTTGAATATGCGACTTCAACCCCCATTTCCAGCCTTATTTCCGCGCCCCCAGCTCGCGGATCAAAATCCCACCATCCTCTCATCCGCCCCCGTCGTCCTCCACCCCGCCCCCCCGATTCCCCGCCTCGCCCCGCCGGCCCCGTCCCAAACATTTTGACGTCCACCGATCGGATCCGTTGGTGTGATGTGGCGGTGTCGGCACGCGACTAAAGCAGCGCCCGTCCCCCGCACTCGATCCTCGCTACCGCACGCGCCACCACCCCCCGTTACTGCCACCGCCGCCCGCCTTCCTGCTCGCAGCTCACACAACTCGCCCACTCGCCTCATTGCACGGCTCGTGCAGCACCAGTTCGCCTGATCCTCTCCGACGTCGCACACTCACGCGCCACCCATGACACATTGAGTTATGACTGCCAAGAACAAGAGAGCCTCCGAACCCAGAAGAGCCAACAAGCCCCTGATGGAGAAGAGACGCCGGGCGCGGATCAACCAGAGCCTCGCCGCCCTCAAGACGCTCATCCTGGACTCGGCCAAGGCGGACAACACCAAGCACTCCAAGCTGGAGAAAGCGGACATCCTGGAGCTGACCGTGAGGCACTTCCAGAGGCACCGCAGCCTGGACGTCAAGGGGGTGAACCAGTACAAGGCGGGGTACTCGGACTGCGTGCGGGAGGTCCAAAGGTACGGTAAAGCTTGAGTTCGGTGTGCGTGATGACTTTTTTTGTTTCGGAGTTTTTGTTCCAACGCCCAAAAACAAACTGATTGCTAAGCCGGCTAAAATAGAGTTGACTTTGTTTTTCTTGTCAGTTTTATGTTTCCCTTTTGATCAAAAGTGTGAGCTATTTGCCAGAGTATACATGCGGAGGTGTCAGGGTGCGATTTATGTCAGTACTGTAAACAGGAAATAGAACTGGAAGTAGAGTCGACCCTTGCGTTACTCCCATATTTGCCCCTTCGCGTTCTTAAATACTATTTACGGGATTTCAATAGTCGGAAAAGTTTATTTAAAAAAATCAAGCCCTATTTTACCAACAAATGAGATTTTTTTTATGAAAGTATCAAAGCTACGATCGATTTATCCCTCCACTGCACGGGTGGGGTCTACGAGTCTACGCAAAAATAAATCATTGGTTTAAAGTTATTTAGACGAAACTTCTCTGGCCTCTGAACAAATCCAATTACTTTAATAAACTATAAAATCTGTGCGTTAAAAGTAGAAGCACTCCATTATGGGGTGCCCCAAGGCTTAATCTTTGGCCCTATTCTGTTTTTAATTTACGTTACCGATTTCGATCGATCATAAAATAACACCTCCAAATTAAACAAGCAACAAAAAAGTAGATTTACTGACCCTTGTAGAAGACTGGTTTTTGCCAATTAATTAAATCGAAGTCCTGCACAGTTCATTTTATTTTGGCCTGAATTTTATCGACGTTTTAGTTGTTGCAGTTTTTCGGTGATTTTTTCCAGTTTTCGTCTATTGTTTCGTAAAATCTAATAATAGATTCTTTGATTGAACGCCACTTTTCTGTGAATATTCTCGCCACACTTCATCTATTGTTTCACAAAATAGAATCGATTCTTTGATTACCGCTACCTTCGGCGGCTGATTGGATATTTTGCGCGATTAATTACGACGAAATTATGTAACATACAACTGAAGACTTTCAACCCGACGTAAAGAAATAATTAACGACGTAAAAAATGCAAACTAATATCAAAATTTATGTATAAAACTGTGCACGGAATAATTTTGTGTTTATCCTAATCAAAGAATCAATGACGTCATCGCGAAAAATTGGTAACCAAATCTGTAATAAAACTGTCCGAAAAAATATCGCCGAGGTGTTTGTTATGCTTTCGTGATAAGCGTAAATGTGTTAATTAATAATGATTAATTAATTATTTGTACAGGCTATAAAAAATATGTTTTGCCGATTATCATTGGTATTATTTAATAGCTTTAAACTCCTTCTGGGAAATACAATTACAATGTAATTAGTGTAATTTCTACGACCAAACAGCGAAAAAACATATATAAGTACTTATGTGGGCTATTCTGGGCAAGAAGTACATTTTTAACAATTTTATACGTTTTTTTACTACACAAAATGAGTATAAAAGATTGTAGATCAAGTTGGCTTTGCAATTTTGTAAATTTTGCCACCTCGTCATCGCCTGTCAAATGTCAATCACAAACTAATTTTTTTAAGTTTTACCTTTGGTAAAATGATGAATCGTATGGGATTTTCGGTACACTAAAAAAAAATCCGCAAATTTATAGGAAATTTTGCTAAATATCAGTTTTCTTTTGTATTATTAAAAAAAAATACTTTTAAAAAGATTAGTTTGCTTTATTTTTGGATTTATTTCCAGCTGTTTAAAATTAATCGGAAGAAACACATTTTTCCTTTTTTAAATTCTTATTAACTTTCCAGGTTCTAAATTTCGTATTCTCGGGCTTGTTTCCCAAATCGCGACATTCCAGTTTTCAACTATTAATTTCTGGTTTCGGAATTCTTAAATATCAATTTCCAAATTCTAAATATATATCCCTAATGCGAAAATTTTTACATTTCCAATTCCAAATTCCTAAATTCTGAGTTCTCAATTCTCAGATTACATTTCACACCGTGAATTCTCAATTTGCCGGCTTCACTTTCAAATTCCAAAATTTTCAAGGTACAAGTTTGATTTTTTTTAATTTTAAGGACAACTGTTTCGAACTCCTAAGTAATAAGAAACTTCGTATTTGAAATTCCATTTTTCTGTTTAAAATTCCTATTTCCCGAATTTTTAAGTCTCATTTCCCAAAATCTCAGTTTCAAAATTCTTACTTTTCCAGTGTAAGATTTTTAAGTTGTTAATTTCGAATTCCTGAATTCGCACCTTACACTGCTTAATTTCTAGTATTTGCGTTCCCAAATGCCTCATTTTCAATTCCCAATTCCCAAAAATCCTGTTCTCAGTAATAAGTTATCAGGTTCTAAATCCTAAATTTTCAATATTCAGTTTGCAAATTTCGAAATTTCCAATTCTTGATTCTCAGTTTTCAGATTCTAATTATTGAATTACAGTCAGTTTTATTTTACAATTTCAAATTGCCAGTTACCAATTTCCGAATTTCATTGATGATATCTCTTTTCAGTTCCACAATTTTTAAATTTCAGATTATAAATTCTCAAATTCTCAACTCGTAACTCTTTTAATTTTTCAGGTTCTCAATTTCCTTTTCTCGTTTGACGTTTCCCAAATTTCGTAATCACAGTTTTTGAATTATTAATTCCGGGTTTCCGAATTCTCAAATCTCAATTTCCAAATTCTCATTACATATTCCTAATACCAAAATTTTTACATTTCCAATTCCAGATTCCGAAATTCTGGGTTCCCAGTTCTCAATTATACATTTTTCATTGTGAGTCCTCAATTTGCGCTTTTCCAGTTTAATTCTGGCCTCAATTTCATCAAATTTCCAGAATTTTCAAGTTAGAAGTTCGAATTTCTGTTTATTCCAAATTCTAAACATTTTTTTTTTTATTTTTAGCACTATTGTTTCGGACTCCTGAAGAATACAAATCGTCGTATTTGAAATTCCAAAATTGTGTTAAAATTCCTACTTCCCGAATTTTTAAATCTCAGTTCTCAATTTTTAATTCCCAGTTTCAAAATTCTCACTTTTCCAGAGTGTAAGATTTTTAAGTTCTTACTTTCTAGTTCCCGAATTGACAGCTTACACTATTTAATTTCTAGTATTCGCGATCCCAAATGCCTAATTTTCGATTCCCAGTTCCCAAAAATCCTATTCTCAGTAATAAGTTACCAGGTTCTAAATCCTAAATTTTCACTGCTCAGTTTGCAATTTCGAAATTTCCCATTCTTGATTCTCAGTTTTCAGATTCCAATTATTGAATTACAAATAGTCATTTTTATTTCCGATTTCAAATTCCTGGTTACCAATTTCCAAAATCCACAGATATCTTTTTTCAGTTCCAGAATTTTTAAATGCCAGGTTATAAATTCTCAATTTCTCAATTCGTAACTCTTAATTTTCCAGGTTCTCAATTTCCTTTTCTCGTTTGACGTTTCCCAAGTCTCGATGTTCCATTTCTCTATTATTCATTATTATTTGGTTTCCGAATTCTCAAATCTCAATTTCCAAATTCTAAATACATATTCCTAATACCAAAATTTTTAAATTTCCAATTCTAAATTCCTAAATTCTGAGTTCCCAATTCTCAGATGTACATTTCTCATTGTGACTTTTCAATTTGCGCTTTTCGTGTTTTATTCCGGCTTCATTTTCAAATTCCAAAATTTTTAAGTAACAAGTTCGAATTTCTAATTATTCCAAATTCCAAACATTTTTTTTTAATTTTTGGAAGTACTGTTTCGAACTCCTGAGGAATAAGAATCTTTGTATTTGAAATTCCAAATTTCTGTTTAAAATTCCTACATCCCGAATTCCGACTTGGGAATTGAGAAGTCCCACTTCTCAATTCCCAAATTCCCAGTTTCAAAATTCTTACTTTTCCAGTTAATATTTTTAAGTTCTTAATTTCGAATTCCTGAATTCACAGCTCACACTATTTAATTTCTGGTATTTGCACTCCCAAATGCCTAAATTTCGATTTCCAATTCCCAAAAATCCTATTTTCAGTAATAAGTTACCAAGTTCTAAATCCTAAATTTTCATTGTTCAGTTTGCAAATTTCTCGATATTCCAGTTCTCAGTTATTATTAGTTTCTGGTTTCCGAATTCTCAAATCTCAATTTCCAAATTCTAAATATATATTCCTAAAGCCAAAGTTTTTACATTTCCAATTACATATTCCTAAATTCTGAGTTCGCATTTCTTATTAGGTATACATTTCTCATTGTGAGTGCTGAATTTGCGTTTTTCGTGTTTTATTCGGGCTTCACTTTCAAATTCCCAGAATTTTCAAGTTATTTGTTCGAATTTCTATTTATTCCAAATTCAAACATTTTTTTTTAATTCTTAGCACCACTATTTCGAACTCCTGAAAAATAAAAATTTTCGTATTTGAAATTCCAAAATTCTATTTAAAATACAAACGTTTCGAATTTTAAATCTCAGGTCTCAATTCCCAAATTCCTAGTTTCAAAATTCCCACTTTTCCTGCCTAGGATTTTCAAGTTCTTAATTTAAAATTCCTAAATTCGCAGCTTACACTGGTTAATTTCTAGTATTTGTATTCCCGAATACCTAATTTACAATTCCCAATTCTCAAAAATGTTATTTTCTAAATCCTAAATTTTCATTGCTCAGTTTGCAAATTTCGAAATTTCCAGTTCTTGATTCTCAGTTTTCAAATTCTAATCATGGAATTATAAATAGTCATTTTTATTTTTCAAATTCAGATTCTCAGTTACCAATTTTCAAATTTCAGAAATCTCAATGTTCAGTACAAGAATTTTTAAATTCCAATTTAGAAATTCTCATATTTTCAACTCGTAACTCTTAACCTTTCAGGTTCTCAAGTTCCTTTTCTCGTTCCCAAATTATTCATTTCTGCTTTCATTAATTATTACAAATAGAAAAAACCAAAAAGAACGCCCTCTATTTTTGCATCTTATTCTGGTTTTTGTTCTCTTTCTTTTTGGTTAAGTATTTTCTATAATTAAAGTTGAAAATAAACAAGGTTATAAAATCTAGGGAGACAATATTTAAAAATATATAGGGTGTTCTGTTTAAAAAAGCTAAATTATGGCACCATACAATCGAAAATAAAACGAAGTAGAGTTGGCTATTGCCACCAATTATGTAGGTGGTACTACTACCCTTAATTTAACGTAAATCAGTAGAACCTTATTTCTTTTTTGTCATTGGGTGTTGATAATTGATTTTTGACATTAACAGGTGACAGAATGTTGTACAGTAGTACCACCTGTGTAACTAATCACAGCCAACTCTAATTCGTTTTATTGTCCACCGCACACTACGAGTTTTCAACTTAGGCTTAACCGAGATTCACAATGGAATAATTTTACTTTTATTTTTATTATATTCCTATTTTTAAGAATCTTGGATTCGCCTTGAGCTTGATGAGCCCTTGACATATTTTTTCAAAGTACCTCAAACGTTGCAAGCTTTTTTCCAGCGAAATTACAAATTTTAAATTTATCGTGAATGTTCAACTTTGTATTAAAAGTTTATAGCTTTATAATTCGAATATATTGCAAATTCAGGTCGAGATCGGTCGTTCATTTGATTACTTTTGTCGTGTCGGTGGCGTTATAAATTCGTATGGTGTATTTATCATTTCAGTTGTTACGAAACCAAGTTTTGGTAAACTTTATTTGGTTGTATTTAATTAATGTAAAAATGTCAGCAGTTTCTGTATTAACAAATCAATAACAACAATAATTTTAAACAAAGCATTACAAAAACTTCGTACTTAATTATTAATTATATCATATTAAATTGCCATAAACTCAGCATTCTGTTAATTTTAACGATGACTCAATAATTAATCCACGAGGCGTTCAGCCGAGTCGCTAAATCCCAGGAGTGAAAAAATCTTGTACATTTATTGTAATAAATCTACAACCGTAATTTTCTTACGTTGCAGATATTTGGACACCCCGGATGCGCAGACCATGACCATCATCGACGCAGGAGTGAGACAAAGACTTTTACGCCACCTCGACAACTGCGTGGCTGAAGTGGACATGGACATCCGAAACGCCGCCGTCCCGCCGCCCCCGGAAGAGCGACTGCAGCCCCCCGATTCCAGCACTTTGGAAGAAGTCAACAACAACCAAAACCGCCTAGAAATACCCAAAGAAGCCGAACCTGTTCCTCCCCCGAACAAACTCGTCAAAAACTATGACGGGAATTTCGTCCTGCTGCTGCCGGAACATTACCTGCAGCTTGCGAATGCCTTGGGGGTTAACCTGCGACCGAACGAGGCAGGGACGGACCCAGGACCGGGGAGCTCGTCAGGGGAACCCGAAAATTGTCCGTCCAAACAAGACAGGATAAACAACGGGGAGAAACCTCTGGATTTTAGTAAAAACAATGACAGTTGTGATATGTGGAGGCCATGGTGATTTGGTAGTCGGTGTTGATGTACAAAGTATGTTACCATAGATTTTTTACTTTGTGTGTTGAAATCGTCGCAGTCTGACGGTTGTCCAGTTCTAGTCACCCGATTTGCAATCCTGCTTTGCTGTATTTATTATTACAAGTTGCTTTGTTACTGATAGACTGTATTAATGTAAATAAAGTTATGAGAGAATCGTACTGACACTTTTTTGTCTTTCAAGTTGTAAATTTGTAAATGAATTTATTGTAGATATTATTTGTAATCGAAATAAAATATCCCAAAAATGGATTAGTGTTGTTAATTGTTGCTGTTGGGGGTTTGGTCGATTGTCTATGGAAATGGGCAGGTACGCCATGGTTTGAAATATTAACGAGGATCTTTAGTTAGTTTTCTTTCTTTTTTGAATTTATAGTTACTAGAACAGTAGCTCGATTTGAATAAATATTAAAATGAGCATAAAAAACAGGAGTAATCGATAACTTACAACCTAACGTGTTTATGGTTGTTCGATACTAACCTTCATCTAATATTGATGCGACGTATTATTTAATTTTACGCGGAATTTTACAGAAACCTTCTAAACTCGAATGGAACAATGTAAGTTTAGATATTACTAAAGTTACAAAATTGAAACCCATGATTCATTAAGACTTTTGTGCGGTGGGAGCAACGCATCCAATAAATAAGTTTATTAAAATTGCTGAAATTGCAATATGTAAAATTTCGTTCTAAGTTTTAAAGTCCGCAGAATACGATGTTTTTTCTTGTGTCGTCAGCGTTAATTAGATTTCTTTAAAAACTTTATCAGCTAGAATCTTTCGTTTCTCTGTTGCTGCCTACGTATGTAATAAACCCAACGCCCGAACACCGTGATTCTGGAAATGGATATTCGCCTACGCACCGAAACTTTACTTTTCGCTCTATGGAGTCTTATTTGGTATCCTATAAATAATTGATGGGTACTTAGTTTTTTTTTTATGTAAAGTATAACCAGAAATGACTAGAACGTCAACGAGAAAATTATAAAATAGTAAATTCCATTCAAAAGTCTGTAAATTTGCTAAAATCGAACGTTCCTCACCTCTGACGCATATCTAGTACCACGTGCATCTTAATTGTCTTTTTTAAACCATATTTACTTAACTATTTTCGAGGGAACGTCATCAACTTTTTAGAAGAATGAAACAAATAAAATTTACTTAATATTGTACAATTGTAGACATAATTTAGTTCAGTTTTAGTGCAGTTTATTAAATTTTAGTGACATGCAAAAAAAGAAAATTTTTGACTGTCGTCTGTTTGTCATCTGTGTTGATTTTTATTAGACAAATAATCGCCAAAACTAGTGGACTGATTGTTGGCAAATGTTATATGTATATCCATTAGGATAGATGATAAAACGCTAAGCAAAATGTTCAGCACCTTTTTACTTCTCGAGCGTAAACGACGGAAGTATTGTAATCGAGTCCGTGGGCCGACTCTCTACTTTTACATTTTCTCGACCTTTCATGGCTCCTAGAGTACGAAGAAATTGGTCTCCTGTTTCCGTCTGCCTGTCTGCCTTTCCAAATTTTTATTAGACAGATAATCTCTAAAAATACTGGGCCGATTGTTGTCAAATTTTGTTGAAAAATTTGTAATCAAAATAATTATATTTACTTTTTCCCTCCAAAAAATTGATATCGTCAGCTCAAAGTTTTGCCGAATAAATCGTATCTAAAATCTACAAAATATGATGAGTCTGTACTTGTGATTTATCATTCCATTCATATTTTTAGGGTTTGCTTATACAGGGTGACTGAAAAAAAAAATGAATGAATACGTGAATTTATTTTATTGATTTAATCAGGAACTACAAAACCAAATGCTTTGAAATCTTGGAGATGTTTTAAAGTTATCAAGCATGGTGAATTTTTATTCAAAATGTATTTGCTCATCCCCCCTAAAAATTTGATGACGTCATCTCCAAATCTTAAATGTACAAAATTTGACGAGTCTATACTTGTGATTTACCACTGCATTAACATTTTTTAGATTTGCTTATACCGGGTGTCTCAAAAAAAATAATTGAGTCAATTTATTTTATTAATTAAATCAAGAATTGCAAAACTGAATACTTCGAAATCTTGCAGACGTTTTGAAGTTATTGTAAGCATGGTAACTTTTTAGTCAAAGTGTATCTGTTTATCAACCCCAAAAATTGATGACGTTATCTCAAAATTTTGTCAAGTAAATTCTACCCAAAATGTGCAAAATATGAGGAGTTGTTACTTGTGATTTATCATTGTATTCATATTTTTTAGATTTGCTTAAACAGGTGGCTCAAAAAAATTAATGAATGAGTCAATTTATTTTATTCAGTAATTCAAGAACGGCTCACTTTATTTTCCCAGAAAATTTTGGGAATACAATTCTGTTATTTTTCAAATTTCATTTTGCACTAAATAAAATAAGTCAGTGAAATAGAGAAAGGAGGTGGACGGGGCTAAATTTAGCTTTTTTCTATTTCAATAAGCAAGCAGTAGCCCCGCCCACCCACCCCTTCTTCGTTCCAGTGACTACTCTTAATATTGTTCAGTCCTATCTTGGCAAGTATTAGCCCCGCCCATCCACCCTTTTTTCTTCTCAGAGGATATCTCATTTACCAAAATTAATCTTATCTTAGCAAGTACTACACTGTACTAATCCAAGTTCATATGTATACGTGTCCTTGCAAAAATGTTGAAATAACTTTCGACCAACTTTTCTTACACTGTGACTGGAATTTTCTTCCAAAAAAACTGGATTTGCTTGATTGTACTTCACTAGCGAGGGAAGCTCTGTGTAATAACACAGTTAGATTGTACAGTCTTCGAAAGTTCTGACAAAGCAACAACAACTCGCAGAGAAACGACAGACAGATGAACGATAAGGGGAAACCTGCATTTTTATATTGTACACATTATGATAAGCTTACGTAAACGACATTTAATAAAATATCATTATTTTGACGTTTACCGTAAACAGAAAAATAACTTCAATATTGTTAATTAAGGAAAATTTATAAATCAGTGCGATAAGTGATATTTGGATATAAAAACGGTGCAAAAATATGTTTAAATATTTGTGTGACAATCTTAACTTAAAATTCGTGGAAGACATAGTATGTTATTTCTACTGCAGATTATTAATAAACTTCTAAAAACGCAGCCAACTCAAATTCCTTTTTTTTTCGGTGGCACGATATAAACTCTTATTCAACAAAAAATATTTCTTTACAATTAGGAAAATTTGATATTAGTATTCTTAGTATTAGAAATATGTTAATAACTGATAAATCAAGAGGACTAGAAATAAAAAAATATACAGGATGAATCACTAAACACGCGGTCCGCTTTATCTCATAAAATTAACAGAGAAAAAAATCAGAAAGAAAAGTTGTGCGGCTCTTTGAGTGGTATACATTACATTATTTTCGACTATACAGAGTGTTTTGTTTTTGAAGCATAGCACGCAACTTTTTTTTTATAGAACACTGTGTATATTTTTAAATATTCTTATTAGCCTCTTCTTACACTTTATAACTATAGTTTATTTTTTAAATTCCGATGCGATGTTGCCACGTTATTCTATTATTTTATTCTCGACGTTTCGTGACCCTTAGAGTACGAAAAAGTGGTCTTCCGTCTGTCTGTCTGTCTGCCTGATGTCTATATCTATTTTTATTAAACAAGTAATCTCCGAAACTACTGGACCAATTGTTGTCAAATTTTGTATACATACATGTTAGGGATGTAAATGGTTAAATGCTAACTAAAATTGGGCTAATCATCCCCACCACCAATGGGATGACGTCATCTCCAAAATTTATAATAAAAAGTTTTTTGAAATTCTTAATCTAAATATTTGCCTTTTTTTTTTTTATTTTTTTTTTCATATTTTTAATTCTTGAGCGTTAGCTAAGGAAATATAGTAATCTAGTCCATCGGGCGACTTCCACTTTCATGTTTTCTCGACGTTTCATGACCTCTGAAATACGAACAAAGTGTGTCTGAATTTGCAATAATATAGTTTTTTAATTCATAAAATAAGATACTTCTCCACTTGTGATATATGAATCCGTGTTGAGTTTTCATTCTAGACATCCAGATTTTTGGAAAAAAATCAAAATTGTATAACAACATTTTGTAATTTAACTTTGAAACTGCAAAAACCGTTGCAGACGTTTTAAAGTTACCGTAATCGTTGTAAATCGTTAATCATAATTTATACGTTTATCCCCTCCCAAAAAATGTATGACGTCATCTTAAAATTTTGTAATGGAAAATAAATCACTTGAAACAAACGCGTAGCTTACTTCTTTACAGTTGTGTTAGCATTACGTACATATCTTTATTTTAACTTATAAGTGTTATCATAAAAAAATAAAATTCGCAAAATCAAATTTTACAAGTTTTCGAAAAATCTGGATTTATTTACCATGGACTAGTTTGTTGGTGTTACAGTTTTTCATTTTTCGATTTTTCAGTTTCGCAATTTTTAGTTTTTTGATCTTTCATTTTTTGGTGTCCCCAATTTTCTTTTTCATTTTCCCGATTTTTTTTTATTTTTATGTTCTGAAAAAACGAAAAATTGCAAAATAAAAACGTGGAAAAGCGAAAAATTGCAAATCAAATAACTGAAGAAACGAACAGTTGAAATATTGAAAAACTAAAAATCGAGAACCTTAAAATTTAAAAAAAGCTAATGAATGGAAAAATTCCAATAAAACGAAGAAATAAAAAAATGATTTAAAAAATTGCAAAACACTAGTATTTACTTTGTAAAAGGTTATCAGAATAAAACAAAAATTCCAAACAGTTTTAATAATTTTTCGAAGAAGCGGGATTTGTTGAGCTACACTTCAGCGGTGAGGGAAGGTCTGTCGAAATACCCTTCGACCGATTTTTATATTTTTAAGCAATAAAAGGGTTCACAAAAAATCTCAGTAATGTTATTTTTAAGATCTGTGTTCCAATATTTTATGGAGAGATACGCAAAAGTACGCGTTTTGTTATGGTGTCAATTAAATAAAATTTTAATATACAGGGTGTTTAAAAAATTCCAAAACGTTACGATATTCAAATTTCAAGAAAATTGGAATCATTTGGCAACGTCGCATTGTAATTTCGAAAATGAACTACGGTTATAAGGCCTAAGAAGAGGTCAATCAGACAAGGAAACGTCATTTGTGTCATAATTTTGAGGGGATTCACTTGTAGGTAAGTGA